TTTTAAGTAAAAACAAAAAAAAAAAAAAAAAAAAAACTGAGGACAGTGTTAAAGTGAAATGGGAATTTTTTAAATATAAGGCTAGGCAGATTGTTATTAGAAGTAGTAAAGATTTAAAAGCCTCTAAAAATAAAAAAAAACATGAACTCTTAAATAAAATAAATATTGTATTGCAAAAAAAAAAAAAAAACTAACTCAGGAAGAAGAATTGCATTTAAGGGAGTTAAATCTTCAAATTAATCAAGCTTATTTGGACTTGGCTAGAGGGGTTTTTATTAGATCTAGAGCAAAATGGCAAAAATATATATTTTTTGGCATTAGAGAAGAGGAACTGCAGGAAAAATTAATTGACGGCTCTCAATATTAATTGTGTCAGGTGCACATATCCCAAATTAAGTTCTACTTTTGTTACTACCTTTTTAATGACCTTTACACTTCTGAATTTAATATGGATAATTGTGAGAATTTTTTGGAAACAATTAGGAATCATATTCCTGTCATTGGTAATGATTTTAAAGATATTTGTGAGGCCACTTTGACAATATGAGGAAATTAAATCTGCTCTATTTTCCATGAAAAGAAGGAAATCCCCTGTTGTTGATGGATTTTCTGCTGAATTTTACATTCATTTCTGGGATTTAATACAATCCCCTTTGCTTTACATGTATAGTGAATTAATTGCTCAGAGAGAAATGACTTCATCAATGAAACAGGGTATTATTTCTCTTATCCCAGAGCCTGAGAAAGATTCTCTCTTAATTGATAATTGGAGACCAATTACACTTCTTACAGCTGACTATAAGATCTTGGCCTTGGTATATGCAAACAGATTAAAATCTAAGCTTAATCATATTATTGCAGAAACACAGCCAGGTTTTGTTAGGCACATTAGTAATAGCATAAAACGTATTTTAGATTTATTGGATTATGCTGACTTTGTGAAATCTGAAGCTATTATACTTTTCTTAGACTTTTATAAGGCCTTTGACACCATTGAGCATGAATTTCTTCTGCAATCTCTCAAATTGTTTGGTTTCGGGTCTCCGTTTGTTAATATAATTGAAATGTTTTATAAAGGAATTACCAGCTCTGTCATAGTTAATATGTTCACCTCACAAAGATTTTCTATAAGACGTGGTGTCAGACAGGGTTGCCCGATTTCCCCCTTTTTATTTATTTTGGTTACTGAATTATTATCATTAAGTATTATGCACAATCAGAATCTGAAAGGTAATTCCATCTTTGATAGGGAAATTAAAATCTCTCAGCTAGCTGATGACACCACTCTTTTTTTAAAAGATAAAAATCAACTTTCTAAAGCCATTCAGATAATTAAACAATTCTCGTGTGCTTCTGGGTTAAAGCTAAATTTGTCCAAATGTGAGATAATGTCACTGCATAAATGTGATGACGCATTAATTGAGGGTATTTATGTATCAACAAATTTAATAGCCAGACAACAACTTAATTTTTCTAGTAGAATAAAGAAGACTCAAAATATTTGTAATCTTTGGCTACAAAGAGACCTCTCTCTTTATGGTAGGGTTCTCCTCTCTAAAGCAGAAGTTCTTTCTCGCTTCGTCTATCCTTCACTTTCTTTATATGTCAATAATTGTACTATTAAAGGTGTTAATAAACTTTTCCTCGACTTTATATGGAAAAACAGGTCTCATAAACTTAAAAAAGCAGTCATATCTAATTGTAGAAGTGATGGGGGACTTGAAGCTATAAACTTTCATAACACCGTTTACACGTTTAAAATAAACTGGCTAAGAAGGTGTTTAATAAATCCAAATTCTGTATGGTTCTTTATTCCTAATTATATCTTCAATAAAATCGGAGGCCTCCCCTTTGTCTTAAAATGTAATTATATGCATAATAAACTCCTGGTTAAATTAGCTAATTTTCATCAACCGGCTCTTCTTGCATGGAAGTTGTGTTACGTTCACAACTTCTCACCACATAAAACTCTCTTGTGGAATAATATGGATATAACTGTTAGGAACAAATCTCTTTTTTCACTAATTGGTTTAATAGAGGTTTAATTTATATTTTGTTCTTTATTTGATAATTTTGGTAATGTCTTGTCGTATGAATGCTTCATGACTGTCCATAACTTTCCTTTTCCTTTCAAAGAATATAATAATGTTAGAGCTATTCCCACAGGTTTAATGCATTTGGTCAAGGGCCATATATTATACACCCACAAAGATATAAAGGAGTCGGCTTTGTTGCTGGGCGGCATTGGCATTTATGACAAGAAATGTAATAATAAACATGTTCGCCAGATATTTCAGAAGAGAGACTGCATTGTTCCTCGAGGTAGATCCCACTGGGCTGCCTTAATTAATCATATAGATTGGAGAAGAGCGTGGTTGTTGCCTCATAAATATTTTCTTCCTAATAAGACCAAAGAAGACCATTTTAAAATACTGCATAAAATATATCCTGTTAACTCAACTGTTTCAAAATATGTTGATATTCCTAGTACCTGCACATTTTGTGGCAACGAAGATGAAACCTTAATACATTTATTCTATTCTTGTGAATTTGTTCAGAAGTTTTGGGTTGACTTGAATTCACATTTAAACAAACCTCCTATCTTTGCACAATCTTTTAGCTTGAAAGATACTATTTGTTATTACTCTGACTCTTCCAACAAATCTAAAGAATACATATTCAACTTTTTTTTTATTTTGTTTGGCAAATTTTTCATCCATAAGCAAAAAATTATGGGCTCAATTCCTACTCTTTCACATTTTCTGATTGAGGTTGACTCACTGCTCACATCTTTTTGTTTGACTAGCAATAAAAAATGTGTCAGGTTTTTGGAATTATATGAAAAATGTATTTCTATTGACTCTGATTAAGTTTAGATATAGCTTTCCTTCATTGCTCTTTTATTTTTATTGTTATTGATATAATTTTCCCTTTATTGTAAGGTACATACCCCCTTATTGTCTTATTGTGTTTTATTTCTCCTCTTTTTCTTACTTCTATCTTCTTTTCTTTGTTAATGTTCTCCTGAAGGTGATAGTATATTTTCATCCAATTTCTTGAATAAATAATAAAAAAAAACAATACGTGGTTTTAAAAGTCTAAATTCAGCTTTACAAAAATATTATGTATCAAATCCCCTTTTTAAATCCAAATCAAATAATGGAAGATAAAAAAGAGACTTTCAAACAACTCTCCGTAAAACCACTATTTTTTGAAGCCGGGTAACCACAGTGGATAAATCTGAAAACGACACCCTTGTGTTTTTGTGTGTACAGCCAATCTTTTGTGAATATTTTGTGAAACGATGATGTCATCACACCACGTCTCGACCCGAGTCAGACACCGCTACGTCACGTAACAGCAACAACAACAACAACAATGGTGGACTACATGCTTGTGTTCGTGCTGTAGAAGCTACTGAGCCTATTAGCTTTACTAAAGGCGGGCGTACACAGTGCGATTTTTGCTGTCGTACGAGCTCGCAGGCGATTTTTTTCTCTCGGGAGAAAATCGCAGATGCTCGCATGGTCGCGGCTCGTACCGTGTGAGAAGAATTACGGGCCGATCCGAGACGTTACGAGCACCTCCCGTCCTCCCGATAATTTTCAAACATGTCAAAAAAAATCGGATGCTGTCGGTTTAAATTCGTGGCGTATGTGCGGTTGAACGAGACGATTTGGCGATCCATCTGAAGTTGACCAATCAGAAGATGACAAAAACCATATAGTCTATAATAATTTTAGTTTAATTATACAGTTCTATTTTTTATTTGCAGAGTTTGTAAAATCGTAGTAAATTCGTGTCGTGTGTGACTGCCTCCGTACGATTTTCGGATAAACTCAATCATGACATGTGCCAGAGCTCACGATGTTCCGACCTTCAGAATCGCACCGTGTACACCCGCCTTAAAGCAAAATCAAAAATTACTAAAGCAAAAATGTCTGTATACAGTGCGCAAAGTTTATGCTCATGCTCCAAGTCTTCTTCTCCGCTTTTAGTGAATCTCTGTGACAGAATTTCACAATTTTTTTAGAACGAGGAAAAAAAAAGATTGGATAGGGAAAGCTCTGGCTTCGTGTGGATGTGGCCTTACTTAAAGGCATCAGATTTGAACTTCACAGCACATTGGGCTCATTTTCATTCAAGTTTTGGTTACACAGACTTATAACTGCTCTGTAATTTCAAATATGTTGACTGAAATAGAGGAGGGTTCCTCAAATACGGTCGTGGAGGTCCGCTGCGCTGCAGAGTTTAGCTCAAACCCTGATCAAACTCACCTACCTGTGCTTTTCTAATGATCCAGAGGACCTTGATTAGCTTGCTCAGGTGTGTTTGATCAAGGTTGGAGCTAAACTCTGCAGGGCATGGGCCTCTCCAGGACAAGATTTATTTATCAAATATTTTTCTATTAGGCTAGTATTTGGTGGAACAAATTATTTGTTTTGTTTTAAAGTAATTTATTTGTGTCTTTCCAAATTAGGCTTCAGACACCGTAAAACTCTTACAGAATTAGACCCAAAACAGAAGGAAAAGCGTATGTGCCTTTTGAAGATTAGTTTAGTTATGACATATTATGAACTCCATTATAGGCAATTCATTTTAATCTAGGGGTGCACTTATCATATCACTTTAACTGTTCACAGTCTCCAGGAATAGAATGTAGAGACCAATGGTAAATACATAAAATTGAAGACAACCTCATTTCTTGTTTTAAATCCACCCTTGCCTAAGCTTTTACCACTACACCACATAAATCAACCAATCTCATCAATGCCAAGGTTATGGGAAAAACACTTTGATCTCAAAGTTTTGTTGTTATTTTGAATGAAATTGAATTACTCAATTTAAGAGTTCCATTTAGGACCATAGATTATCAATATGCTTTTTTGTAAGTTAACATGATATAACCATATTAAGATATGGCTAGTGCCCACACACTGGATTTTTTTTTACTTTCACCTCTTAACACAGGGGTGTCAAACTCAATTCCTGGAGGGCTGGAGCCCTGCAGAGTTTTGTTTCAACACACATACCATGTAGTTTTCAAATAAGCTTGAAACACTTGATTAGTTGGATAAGGTGTGTTTAATTAGGGTTGAATCTAAACTCTGCAGGGCTCCTGCCCTCCAGGAATTGAGTTTGACACCCCTGTCTTAACAGAAAGTGTGTGCCTCATTCATCACATACAGTCATGTTATATATTTTAATGAAACTAAAACAGACTATACATTTGTTGAAAACGACATGAAAAACCACAAGAAATTCACAATTTGAGAGAATCAAGTGTACAATGTATTTAATGTTTTCACAAAGAAAAAAAAAACTTTCATGATAAAACCTTGCAAATGATTTTAATGAAATATAACAATTTCTATAATACAAGTTGTTTTTAGAATTGCACACTAAAATATAGCGTTATAGTGATTAAGATCTAAGATTTGAATAAGAAATATTCACTCAGACATTCCTTTTTTTAAAAAACAGTCTCATTACTTCCTTTCGTAGTCTTGTCAGATTCAGTCCATAAATAAGGGGATTTAACATGGGAGGAACGAGTAGGAATTCCAGTGCCATGAAATTACGCAAATCTTGTGGCAAGCTCTTAAAACCATAACGGGTGTACAGCACGTCAAACAGCAATGCAACAGTCACATTGAACAATGCAAGCAGATGTGGTACACATGTTTGTATGAATTTGTTTCTGCCCTCTGTTGACTTTCTGCATTTTCCAATCAAGTGAATGTATGAGCAAAATATCAATACTGCATGTCCAAAATATATAATAATGATTACATATCCAATCACATTATTCACTGTTGTAGAAATACAGGAAAGTTTAACAACTGACCAGTTTTCACAATATAGCTTTTGAATACTAGAGCCACATAAGGTTAGTCTCGATGTTAATACAACTCCAAGACACATGCAAAAAAATGGAGAAAGCCAGCAGAAAAGGATGCATTCAAGAATTCTCTGATTGGTCATTACTGAATGATACTCCAGTGGTCTACATATTGCCACATACCTGTCATATGCCATCACTGTTAATGTTGAAAGGTCACATAAAACAGATGAATAAATGACAAATATCTGAATCAAACATCCAACATAGGAAATCACATGATGCTGGGATAATAAATCATACATGAATTTAGGGTAAAATCCAGCTGTGCCATAGAGTCCATTAATACACAAATTACATATAAAAACATACATTGGCTGATGAAGCTTCTTGTCTGAGAGTATAGTATAAATTATGGTTACATTACACAACAAAATTAATTGATAATACATTGCAGTCAAAGAAAAAAACACAAATCTGTTTCCCATCGTTTCATTTAGTCCAGAGAGTGTAAATACTAAGACAATGGACTCATTCTCCATCTGGAATGATATGCAAAGTCTTATTATAATGCTTATTATAATGCTCTCATTAAGCAGTTATAATAAAATTATTTGTAAATTAATTTGAAATTAAAACTCGAGTTAAGTTTTAAAGTGACCATTGATATATTCAGCTGTTTAGTCATGTTAGCTAATGGAAATATTTAATACTCTAAAGGTAGCATACACTGGTTCTTCAGAATGACAAGCAAGAAATGAAATGGTTAAATCTTACCACCATCTCTGTTTGTAGGTTTGTCAGAGTGTTGTATAAAGGGTTGATTTGGTCTGCTATATATGGACACTGGTCTCATGCTAATTGCCTTGTTTATGAACAGTACTTCCCATTACTTTCAGTGCTGCAGTTAATTACTTTTGCTATATGTAAATATCTAACTACACTGTAGTAACATCATTATATATTTTGTATGTTCCTCGTACTTTGTATTACAAGTGTTTTGAAGCCATAAAATAGCTGTTTGCTATGTAATTGCTATGTAATTTGACATGTAGTTATGGCATTCACTAGCAGGGGTTAATAGTTAACCAAAACTTTGCGGAAAACAAAACCTGCATCCTAATTTGTTGCAAGGACCTCTCGCCAAAGGCAGGGAAACAAACTGGACATATAGCCAGTCTCGGGCCTAACACAAACACATTCACATGTAATTTAGTGTCTCCATTTCATCTGACCTACATGTAAGAGAAAGAGTACCTGGAGGAGACCCACAGCAACATGCGGAGAACATGCAAATGCCACAGAGAAGGGCCTCCCTGCTGCAGCCGGAACTTGATGTAGGGCCTATATCTCTGTGAGGCCACATTATAAAAAGCAGTAACTTGTCATTGTTACCTTAAAGAGCTATCTCTACCTGGTATAACCCATAAACAATAGTTGTGTTGGTAAAAAAATATGTATAAAGGTTGGTTTAGTGAAAGGTAAATATAAGATGAAGGTAATTTTTTTTACTTAAATAAAACCAGTTAATTTAGATGTTTCGGTTTTAGGTTACAATTTGTTTTGTGTTTGTTTTTTTTTGTCTGCACTAAGCCACTATGTCCCTATTCATCTGACAGTATGGAAGTTCATCAAACAGACTAGATACAGCGACCCCTAGTGGTTGCTAGTGGAGGTCACAAAATGCATCACACACAGAGGATCCAAAGATATTTCTCTTCCATTAAGAATTTTCCTACTAGATGCTGCTTCAGCAAATCATTTCAGTATATTTACATAGATAATGCAAAGCAATATGCAATCTTTTAGTGAAAATAAAGCAAGTCATAGTGTACAACACACTGTTAAAGAGGTTAGTGTGAACTTACAGTATATTCCAGGTTAATAATTGCATTACTTTCACAGTAATTTCACAGTGGGACTTCTCTTGTATCTAAGTGTTACCATTGTTGTGTTTTGCATGTTGTGAAATGTGAATTGATGTCACATCAATTAAAAAAGACGTATCTCAGCAGTTGCTTCATTATTGTGTAAGATCCATCCACAAACAGTTATGAATATGAAATGTTATTGATTAATCTTCATGCTTAAATAACATTAAAATAAAATCTTCATGTTCATGCTACAAATATTTTGACTAACTTAAAGTCAGGCAATTATCTTATTTCATATTCCAGCTTGTTGTCATTTTGAAAAATGTTTTTTATTTGTCACACTTCTGACATGACTAGATCAGACATTTGAGTATGAATATACAAGGTCTGAGATCCCAATCAATTGGATGGCCACAATACCAAGTATTGGAAGAATATTAAACTCCAACAGGAAAATAATAACTGTTGCTATTGTATTTGTAGGAAATAAAGATGACCAAATAAATTGAACAGCTGTGGTGGTGGTTAAGGCATATATCTTGAACTACCCTTCCATCTGGCATCCTTCCATTCCATACATTAATCAGCTTCATTTTCGATGGGTTTGTGCCGAAGAAACTACACAAATATTTTTTTTTTTTTTAAAAGAGCTTGAGAACGAGGCACACTTTCCTCATCGCTTTGCATACAGCAACCTTACTAATGTGCTCTGCATCCCTGATGTTATATAGAATACAACAATTTATAAATGGTACCGCTCAAATAAATATGCATGTGGATATGGCTGTTACGGGGCGAACGAGACGAGAGACGTGCGAATCCATCTGCAAGGCTTTATTTAAAGACATGGTCAACACAGGCAAGAGTCGGACAATGGCAGACAGGTATATAGAGGGCAAGACTGAAGAGTAATCCGAAACACAGGCGATGGTCCAGGCGAGGGGTATCCGAACAGGGCGAGATGAGAGGGGTAATCCAAGACAGGCGATATACTTCAGGGCAGGCAGAGATCTGGCTACAGACACGAATGGCTAAGACAATAAACAGGAATAAACTAGACTTTCACTCAGAAACTCGGAATGGCTCCGTAGAGCAGCTATCACTAGGAGAGTGATAAACGCAGAACAATACTCGGCGTTGAATGGTGGTGTGAGACTGATTTATATAGTGTGTGTTATTGGTAGCAGCTGTGTGTGATTGGTTTCAGGTGAGAACTAGAAATGGCTCCGTAGAGTAGCTATCGCTATGAGTGATAAACGCTATACAATACTCGGCGTTGAATGGTGGTGTGAGACTGATTTATATAGTGTATGTTATTGGTAGCAGCTGTGTGTGATTGGTTTCAGGTGAGCTTGTGATTAGTGCAATGGAGGGAGGGAAATGTAGTCCAGGGTGATGTGTAACAGTCTGTGTGGTGTGAGAGTCACTATAATGGGAGGGCGACCTCTGGTGGCAAGCAGACGGAAGTTCATGGACAGGATTCGTGACAATGGCAAAAAAATTAAATAAATAAATAAATAATCCTTTCCCGATGTAAATGTAACTCCCTACAAATTAATGCAGCCTCCTCATCTACAGGATTCTGTATAATAGGACATGCCGTTTTTGTCACTTTCAGATAGTCTACATGATGAAAATATGTGCCATAAATGAATGCAAAAAATGCTTTTCTTACTTAGTATTTTTGTCTTTTAGTTTCCAGTCAAAATATTCTTAAATCAAGATGCATTTTCTACGTAAGAAAAATTACATAAGGTCTTTAGTCTTTTAAGTGTATTTTTCTTATTTTGCTAATTATCTGTCAATGGGGTAAGAAAAATAAACTTGCTTCCATCTGCATTAAGATAATTTTTCGTGTTTTATGTCAAATGCACTTAATTTAGATTCCAAAATACTCACTAAGAAAAAGCATTTTTTGCAGCGCGAATGAATGAATGAGGTATTTAAACATTGCTTACACTTTAAAAAGTGGTAGGAGACTGAAAGAAACTCTGGGTTTAACAAAGAAAATCTGCTCCCGACCAGGTTAGGTTCGAATAGTAAGTTACCATGGTAACTGGGGTTTCTCGGGTTTGACATACCTCCCATTATGAAACAGAAAACCCTGAGTTTCCCTCATTTCAGGGTTAACATACTCAAGTTTTCACTTAACCTCCTTTCTGAAACGGGCCTCAGTGGCCTGTAGCACAAAGCCAGTTTCAGTTTTTACCCAGTTAAGTTCGCATTTAGTTTGAGCAAACTGAGTTTTCGGGCTCAAGAAGGTGGCTTGATTTTGAGCGGGTTTCCTCACCATGGTAACTTACGCTACACGGCTACCCTGCTCCCGAGCAGGTTTTATTCTGAGTTAGAGATCGCAAAACAAAGCTGTACCAATCAGCTCTGAGCAAAGTAACATATATCTGATGCAATAAAGACACCCCCCTTTATCTCAGTTTATAGTGACACAATTTTAGAGACAAATCTTTTGCTGCTAGTTGTTTATTATATTTGTATTTTATAGATTATAATTATGTATAATTCATATAATATATTCATATAATTAATTATATGCTGTCACACCAATTGCTGCAACGATGATGAAGGCACGGTGAAGATAATAGAAATAAATCCTTTTCCTAGATAATCCACAAGATGAAGAAGTTCTCACACAGGGTAACATCAAACACAACTAATAACCGGCCACTGAAGGAACAGAATGGTGAGACTTAATACAAATGCAAATGAGGGACTAATGACATAATGAACAGGACACAGGTGAACAGAATGAACTAATCAAGGGAACTAAGGGAAACTAGGTCAAGGGACTGTAACAAGGCAGGGGCACAGAAAAACACAAAACAAGGTTCAAACTGTGACAGTACTCCCCCCTCCGGCCAGACGTGACCTTGTGCCGTAACGGAACAACAAAGGGTGGAACGGAGGAGGACTTAGGAGGTGGACAAAGGAGAGGAGTTGGGATGGCAACAGAAGACAGCGAAGGGCAGGCAGGAAGGCAGGCAGATGACCAGGGCGGCGACGACGACAGAGGGAGGAGCCATGGAGGGATCAGGAGGAACCATGGCGGACCAGACGGAAGAAGGAGCCAGGACGGAGACAGAAGGAGCCAGGGTGCCGGAGTGACAGAGGACCAAGGTGGAGCTGGAGGGAGGGAGGAGCCCAACGGAGCCGGTGGGACGGATCGACGAGTTGCAGCCGGAGGAGTGGAGTCCTGAGGCGATGGCAGGTCGACGACTGACCAAGGCGGAGCCGGAGAGACGAGGGAGCCCGGCGGAGCTGGTGGACTGACGGGCCACAGCAGAGAGAAGAGAGCTAGGAACCATGGTGAAGCCGCAGGGTCGACTGGCTGAGGCGAAATCTGGCACTCAGAGGCTGGAGGCGGAGATAAGGGATCCTCCAGCCATGACGCCGATGGAGACTGGCAGACCCGCAGCAAACCCACATCACAGATGGTGGGCTGAGGGTGAGCTGAGGGGCAGACAGGGGACAGCGGAGGCAGTGGTGAGGACTGATGAAGAGATGATAGGAGAGGGAGGGTGAGCGGCAGTTTTGAGCAGTCCGGGGGTTCAGGGATGGTGTGTGCTGCCCACACACACCAGATGACCACTCCCAGCACTGCGAGCGCCAGAGATAGGGGAATGACCTCCATGGTCGAGACGGGACAGACAGAT